ATCCTTCAAAAACTGTTCTGTCAGAAACTCAAGAAAAAAGGGAAACACATTCACCACCCTTCCTTCAATAACTGTTCTGTCAGAAACTCAAGAAAAAAGGGAAACACATTCACCTCATTCCTTCAAAAACTGTTCTGTCAAAAAATCAAGAAAAAAGGGAAAAAATTCACCATCATTCCTTCAAAAACTTTTCTTCAGAAACCAAGAAAAAAGGGAAACACATTCACCATCATTCCTTCAATAACTGTTCTGTCAGAAACTCAAGAAACAAGGAAACACATTCACCATCATTCCTTCAATAACTGTTCTGTCAGAAACTCAGAAACAAGGAAACACATTCACCATCATTCCTTCAATAACTGTTCTGTCAGAAACTCAAGAAACAAGGAAACACATTCACCATCATTCCTTCAATAACTGTTCTGTCAGAAACTCAAAAAACCCAAGGAAACACATTCACCATCATTCCTTCAATAACTGTTCGTCAGAAACTCCAAGAAACAAGGAAACACATTCACCATCATTCCTTCAATAACTGTCTGTCAGAAACTCAGAAACAAGGAAACACATTCACCATCATTCCTTCAATAACTGTTCTGTCAGAAACTCAAGAAACAAGAAACACATTCACTATCATTCCTCAATAACTGTTCTGTCAGAAACTCAAGAAACAAGGAAACACATTCACCATCATTCCTTCAATAACTGTTCTGTCAAAACTCAAGAAACAAGGAAACACATTCACCATCATTCCTTCAATAACTGTTCTGTCAGAAACTCAAGAAACAAGGAAACACATTCACCATCATTCCTTCAATAACTGTTCTGTCAGAAACTCAAGAAACAAGGAAACACATTCACCATCATTCCTTCAATAACTGTTCTGTCAGAAACTCAAGAAACAAGGAAACACATTCACCATCATTCCTTCAATAACTTTCTGTCAGAAACTCAAGAAACAAGGAAACACATTCACCATCATTCATTCAATAACTGTTCTGTCAGAAACTCAAGAAACAAGGAAACACATTCACCATCATTCCTTCAATAACTGTTCTGTCAGAAACTCAAGAAACAAGGAAACACATTCACCATCATTCCTTCAATAACTGTTCTGTCAGAAACTCAAGAAACAAGGAACACATTCACCATCATTCCTTCAATAACTGTTCTTGTCAGAAACTCAAGAAACAAGGAAACACATTCACCATCATTCCTTCAATAACTGTTCTGTCAGAAACTCAAGAAACAAGGAAACACATTCACTATCATTCCTTCAATAACTGTTCTGTCAGAACTCAAGAAACAAGGAAACACATTCACCATCATTCCTTCAATAACTGTTCTGTCAGAAACTCAAGAAACAAGGAAACACATTCACCATCATTCCTTCAATAACTGTTCTGTCAGAAACTCAAGAAACAAGGAAACACATTCACCATCATTCCTTCAATAACTGTTCTGTCAGAAACTCAAGAAACAAGGAAACACATTCACCATCATTCCTTCAATAACTGTTCTGTCAGAAACTCAAGAAACAAGGAAACACATTCACCATCATTCATTCAATAACTGTTCTGTCAGAAACTCAAGAAACAAGGAAACACATTCACCATCATTCCTTCAATAACTGTTCTGTCAGAAACTCAAGAAACAAGGAAACACATTCACCATCATTCCTTCAATAACTGTTCTGTCAGAAACTCAAGAAACAAGGAAACACATTCACCATCATTCCTTCAATAACTGTTCTGTCAGAAACTCAAGAAACAAGGAAACACATTCACCATCATTCATTCAATAACTGTTCTGTCAGAAACTCAAGAAACAAGGAAACACATTCACCATCATTCCTTCAATAACTGTTCTGTCAGAAACTCAAGAAACAAGGAAACACATTCACCATCATTCCTTCAATAACTGTTCTGTCAGAAACTCAAGAAACAAGGAAACACATTCACCATCATTCCTTCAATAACTGTTCTGTCAGAAACTCAAGAAACAAGGAAACACATTCACCATCATTCCTTCAATAACTGTTCTGTCAGAAACTCAAGAAACAAGGAAACACATTCACCATCATTCATTCAATAACTGTTCTGTCAGAAACTCAAGAAACAAGGAAACACATTCACCATCATTCATTCAATAACTGTTCTGTCAGAAACTCAAGAAACAAGGAAACACATTCACCATCATTCCTTCAATAACTGTTCTGTCAGAA